GACCCTGTTTTGCTTGGCATCATTCAGACACGGAATAAAATGACATTACTTCACCAGCTCTAAGACAACAGAGAGATGGAAACAAATGGGCAGAACACAGGAGAAAGGGAGACAACATTTGTCAGTCTGACAGGCAGCAGTCTCAGCAAACCATCAGGGTAACTGTTGTCAGAACTCCACAGGCATCGCAGAGAAAAATCAAGGAGTGACAAGACAGACCATGACAAAACTGCTTTGAGATGCTAATACAGAGCTCCTGGCAAACGGGAGGGACGACTGAAAGAACTGCCAAGATGTTTATTTAAAACTCATCAGTGCTCCCTCTGCTACCTCGTTTATACACAGCACAATCTGAATGTCCTGCTCTTCCCACAAGCAACTCGGAGAAAATAGAAGTTTGGGAATGAAATAGAAAACTGTAAAGGAGCAAAACAGAGCACAGCACAGGTACCAAAGTCTGACTGGCTCAACAAAACACAGGGTTCTTAACACACTGCCAGATTCTCTCTGCTCCACAACCTTACTATACGTATAACAAGGAAATCTGGAACTTTAGAGAGACAATGCACATCAGTAACTCCTCATTTTACAGCAAACTTCAGGCTACAACCTCTTTCCGAAGAAGTTGCTCATGTCAACACTCAAAGAATTCTCATTCCTGCAAAGCTGATTCCTCTGTGTGATGTGCACGTGCACCTGTGTGCTCATATGTATTCATAAGTTAAGGAGGAAAAGCGGTAAATGGGAAATAAAGAGGGAAAGAGTCCAGGGTTCTGCAATACTTTTTCACCTCCATTACTTGGCATGAGGCACTACAAGATTGTACCTTTAATTTCAATTACACAATTTTATGCTGCAAGTCAATTTGCACAGTTCCCAAGGAGATAAGTTCTTAAAAATCTTCTCTGGAATCCACTGATAAAAAACAGGGGAAACCAGCATAATAAGATATAATGATGAATTAGTCCCTATTGAAAAGTTATCTTTCACTGGGCCCATCAGGAAAGGCGAGATAATCACCAAACATTTTGTATTTGCTTTTCTTTACTATTATCTCCCAGCTTCATATTTTTGCTGTGCATAGGCAGAGCATTAGCAATTTTCTATCTTTTAATTTGACAAATTATCAAACAAGGATAAAAGGATTGGAGAACATGAGGCTACATGTAAACAAGAATAACATACAACACATTTTCTATTTATGCAGGTATACTTAGTAGGTAAAACATCCATTTAAAATACAGAATCATAGACTTATTGGACTCTTTCAGTGAAGAAGTTTTTCCCAATATCTAATGCAAACCTCCCCTGGTGCATATACTAGGTCACATACTTCAAGAATTCTATGCTACTTCTGATTGTGAGTCTAGTAATTGCAGCAAAGCAATGACTGTGCACAATAAACATGAATTAAAATTTAAATGCAGGACTGTAACTTCTGTTTGAGGCATGGAAAGGAAAAAAGGAGGACAAGACCATGACATATTAAAAACTATCAAAAAAAAAAAGACAAAAAATGCTTATTCTTCAGCTTCATCTTAGGTAATCCTCTCCCCAGAATAATACCTGACATTTTCCTGGTTTCCAAAGCTGTGATAAACATTAAAAATGCATGAATCATGTTTCTGTGGGCATCTTTCTTTTCCCAGGTGAAGACACTGCAAGCCATGACAGATGACAATGCAAATGGTGACTGCAGAAGTGCCTTCCCCTGGAAACCCTCTGGGCTTACAGCAAAGGTGCAGGAAGCAGGCAAGGAGAAAGTGAACAAGTAAGTTTGATAAGATCCTTTAGCCATTCTAGATCTCATTTCAGTGCTTCTCATAGGTAGAATAAGATTTATCAGGATATTTAAAAGGAACACTCATGTGATGATTTAGAAAGTGGGAATGATTCAGCTTAAGCAGAAAACAAACACTGTTTCCCAAGGGATTGTTTCTCCCCCTCAGCCAGTACACGTTTCAATGAATACTGATGAAGGTCTGAAGAATAATCTACATCAGCTTTATGGCAGGTGAAAACTGAATTTGGATTTGCAGGTGCTCCAATTCCTAAGGAAATGTAAAGGAACCCAGTAATATCCATAAAGGAACCAGATTCTGTTCTGCCTTTCTGATACACTGCCTCTCATGAACAAAACTTAAGTCATAACAAAGCAAACCTGGTCTTATAAGTCAACTGAATGTTTTCCATCTATCCTATGATCTACAAGAAAAAATTAAGTTTCATCTAGTGGATATGGATTTCCCCCTTGTGTCCATAAAATCAAATAGACAATCATAATTACCAGAAACACATTTAGTGAGAGTTCAGAATTCCTTTAAAATGGGCCATTTTTATTTAATTCTCTACACAGATAATTTAATCTAAGTCATTCTTCTCTGAAAAGTCTTGATTTATGCATTTAATAACCTCTTGGACTTCCAAGGAAAGCCAGATTCGGGACTGAATGGCTGCTCTGTCAAACTAGAAATGATAAGCCAAGCTCTGTGTGCATTAGGTGTGTGCCTTGAGATTGGATTCTACAGCATCTAATAATGGACAAGCTCCATTTGAAGCTCTTCCCCAAGAAAGCAGAGCATTTGCAACTTTCCTTCCCTCTCAGAGTTCTTAGGCACCTGCAGCCAACAGAGTCCTAAAAGTGACCCTCTCTTGAACAGACATCTGTTCTCTTGAAACCCACGGGAACCTCAGGACTTTGAGTCTGATACTGCTCTGCCAAATTTGTTTGAAATTGAGCTTGGTGTTAAAAAAAATACTGTAGGAAACATGGTCCAAAAAAGGCAAACCAGCCTACAACACAGCCTTCAGCAATAACAAGAGAAACAAGACAGTCTTACTTTCCCATCACTTAGAAGGACTGATTTTAAGCAGTAGTATTCAGACAGGCACAATCTTTGTTAATTGAAATAAGTTTTAAGTGCCCTTTTTTTTTTTTTTAGGCGTGGTTAAACATGTAGAAACTGTGGCCCACCACATGTACAGGGTTTGTTTTATTTTAAGCAAATGAAAAGTTCAATTACATTGTTTACATTTTTTCAAGAACACTTTAATATGCTTTTGTTCTTCACATGCTTTTATATTATCACATTTTTTTTAAAATAAGCATTTCAGTTAATTTTGGAGCCCTACCCCAGACTCTCATTTTCTTTTAACCATTATCTTTACATGAAAGTCAAAATAATATTTTCAGTATATGAAATTAAATAGACATCCTCACTGTCAGGTGTTTTTTTTTCAGTGTAGTTGCTGTTTCTCCAAGCAAGTTCTAAAGTGTTTCCAAATAAGTCTAAAGACATCCAATTTATTTTTATTCTTGTAAATTGCTTTCTCAAGTGGCATTGTATCCTTAAGGTATGATATCCAGTTATCAATTGCAAAAAAAAATACTTAAAATTCCTCAGCACATAAAAGGATCTCTTCCAGCAATAATTAGAAGCACTGGATATAAGGATCTACAGAAACGCTTTCACTAAGAAAGATATAAAAACACAATTCAAGAACGATAAAGAAAAAGGAATAGCCTAACATGAACATGCAGGATATTTATCTGTTGTTCAGCTGTAAGATAATGGAAAAGCTTTGACAGGGATTCCTCTCCTGAGTAGTCCATGAGCTTCTAATACTTTGAATTACACGTTATGTATTGTGAGACTCACAAGCAGGTTGCAACAATATTCAGGAGTAATTTGCAACTCAAATCTGGCTTCCTCTACAGGCCAAGGGAGACTTTAGGGGGCAAAGAGTGAGAAGGAGATGATGACTCGAGCCTTGCCCATATGCAGCCCGCCATGATGTACAGCTGAGACAGGTTGTAAGTGTGACTGATGGTTACTCCACCCAATCCACTGAAAATCTGCCAGTCTGCCCAGGTATGGAAGTATCTTCCTCCTCCTCCTCCAGACTGGTTTTCTTTTCGGTTTGTGTTTAAAAAACACGCTCCTCTTGAACTCGGTGTTCTTCAGATGAAGAACCCACTACCATTTTGGGTGGATTTCCTACAGCCTCCCTGTGACCTTTGCATTATAATTGTTAAGTGTGTCAAGATCTTTCTTCTGTTCTCACAGATGACTTACCTTATGCCCACATCCTCTTGTACCCACCCACGTGCACCACTGCTGCCCTGGGCTCTGACTTTGTGTCCTGTTTACATGGTACCACTCTGTCTTCACAACACTGATCTTTTTAACCAGTCAGTCCACTGCCAAATTCTTAATCTGCATGAGATTTATACTGCCCAAGTCTTTGACTCTTAAAGCATAAATACATTGGATTATGGTCCTTGGATTTAGCAAGAAATTAGGTTTCTATGATTAAGTGTAGGAATACAGCTCCTCTTTAGGGAAATACCCTCAGAAGTAATCTACCAGCACTCCGAGTACAGCAAGAACAGTCTCAACCTACACAAAGTTTACGCCAATGACAGAAGTATATAACCATTAATTGAAAAATATATTCATACCTAGACAATATGTCAGAACTGTCAGAACTTAGCTACAAGGTTTAACTTTTTAAAAAATATTTTTAGGTTCCTTCTTCCTCAGCTGCAGCTAACAAGCCCTGAAATGTCATTGCTTCCAGGCTACTTGCACGCTCAAGCTCATCTACATTTCAACTCTTCTGATTTTTTGACCCAAGGGAATAAACTGCAATCAAATACAAATTGCAAAAATATTCAGCATTATAATTCAGTTTCCTGGAACCTGAGTTTACAGTCATCTCTGGTTTCCATTTTCCCATCTGCTGAATCCCACCCTTCTTCCACACAAGATGAATCTCAAGCTGTAAACTGCTCTGCCCAGGTGCTTTACTGCATTTACACTCCTCCTACGTTCCATGATCATTTTCCCACTCTCAACATTCTTCAGGAGACAAAGTCCCCTGACTGCTGCCAATAATTTTTCAGAAGTTTACTCACAGTAAATGCTTCTCAGTGACCTGTTGAAAAATCAAACTCAAGACGAATATAATCAAATTAATGCACCGTTAGTGGTTCCTACCAGCTCACTGCCAAGTCGTGCACCTTCAGAATGCTGCTCAGTTGATACTCCTCAGATTTCAGGGGTTGAGCATGTTCTTTAGCAGACTCAAGGTATGTGTTCACTTCAGCATCAACAGGGAACTCTGAATCCTGGAGAAAAACATGAAATTATTAATTCTGAGAAATGCTGCATAACTTCATACAATGTACTACCCACTATTTTGAAAATACAATTTTGTATTATTTTTTCTCCTCTATTTTTCTCCTCTATTCCATTTTGATCACTTTTTAAATCACTGTTACCCTGATTCTATTAATTTTGATACATATTGTTAAAGCTTACTGCAGGTAAAACTGTAAGACTGGGGTCAGCAGCAAACAACTGGACATTATTAGTTTGTTCTTTTAAATTATATTCCTATGAGTTAACTTCTGGGCAGTTATACAAATATAGCATTGCTCTAGGAAGAGATCAACCACCAGCACTAACCATTATCTGCAACCAAACATGAATTCACTGTTCATACCAGCAAACCTCTTCTTCCTCAAAACAGAATAAAACCACTTACATGGTTCAAGACACCACTAGTGGGAAAGAAGACACCACTGTGGATGCACAGAGAGATAATAAAAAATGGAAAATAAAGTTTTTCTGTCATTAATACTCATAAAATAGTTCGTGGAACAACATGGGTGTAAATGACAAAACCTCAGCCTGATACTTTTATTGATCATGCCATTTGTGTACCTGCTACTGGAATGAGTTATGGTGCTCAAAAAGGAAGGTTGTTAAATTGTTAGTATAAAATCCCTTATATCAAATTCAGGACAACCTCTGGTTTTAGTAACTATTTTGTGGGAGACAGACAAAAGTTAAAGTCAAAATTCAGGTAAATTAATTCATTTTCCTTAAGCAGAAAAAGAATGTTTTGAAGCTGTTAAACGGCAAGTTTAAAACTACCAGTTTAAGACACAGTGACTTGTCCTACTCCTAGAAGAAGTTAACTTATATAAACCTTTTCATTTCATCAGTGAGCAGATGGAAAGCTCCTTCAGTTTGGAACTACAGAATTACTCCCATTGTCCAAATTATATTTTCTTTATTTTCCCTAGGCTTTCCTCCCCTACTGGAGATGAAAAGAATAAAGTTGAGTTGTACTACCAAGCTCAGTGCAGCCCGTTCTGTGGTGTAATTACTGAATTGGCAGCTCAACTAAACAGTTTCTACTCGGATTGCAAACGGGAAAAAACTCGTACATGGACTACAGCAACAGGCAGGTCTGGATATGCAGCTCTGACAGCCTCTCCAAAGCAGCAAACCAGGGAGATGGCATCTACCTCAGATCTGTGCCTCTGGAGCAACCATTCACACACCTGGAGCAAAGCCCTTTTCCAGGACTCTACATTTGAGTATCAGTTTATTTGTAATGGTGGGAGCCCCCGGTGGTGTAGAGGAAAACACACTGCACTGTCACTGCAGAGACCCGGGTTTGATTCCCGGTCGGGGCCCCTCCCCGGGCAGATGGAGCTCGTTAGCCCTTAAGGCAATCCATCTACGTCCTGAGGACCTCACTGCCACCGTCCAAGCGTGCTTGGCCCCGGCAGATGAACCTCAGGATTAAAGGGTGGGCTCAGTTCCGCGCACACTGTGTCTCACCTAAAAAATCCAATGCGCAGGCTGGAAGGTGGAAAGACCTTCCCCGGTTCTTCGTTCGCGAAGAGACTGGCCATTATTATTTGTAATGGTTAACTGTGTGCTTGAAAATAGCAAATAGTTTTTTTCTTCACTTTTGGTCATTTTAAAGCACATGGTTTAACTGTTACCATGGAACTGGGTGATGGAGCTAAACTGAGAGAACTAAATGCATGTATTTACAGAGCTGTACACAGTGAACCTCTGAACCTACTGCAGGACACTGCGCAGTCTGATCAGAAGCAGATCGTAATCTGAGGTCACAACTGCACAGTCCACTTGGCCTCACCTATACACAGCTAACAGGTCCCAAAAAGCAGATTATACAAGTATGATCACACAGAATTACACTGAGAATGTCTGTGAGTCTGCACAAGCTTTAGTCTGTTCTGGCAATCACAGAAAAGTTGAAGAGACCAAGAGGGAATTGCATTTGCTTGGTGCAGTGCAGTACAACAGTGGGATTAACAGGGATCTACTTGGACCTGGGACTTCAGAAGCTGAGCACAAGGACCACAAAGCTTCCAGGCAGTGGGGAGAAGCTGCATCTCAACGTAGGACTCAACTGTACAGAAAGAAGCATCAGTGGCTGCAAGAACCCTCATGGGAAAAACTGGCATTCCACTGACAAAGCACTGGACTAGAACTATAAGATTACTGGCACGGGCTATTTTCCATTCTTCCATTTGCTCTCTATCCCTATTTTCCATGGAGGTTAGCTCCATGACTTGCATTAACAGGCAAAGCCACTGTATTCTTCAAAAGACCTTTCTTGCTAGTTCAACACCCACAAAAAGTCAAAACACACGTAGTTAATCTTGCAGCCTCATTTTCCTTGAGTGTGGTCTAAGATTAGTCAGCAGACTAGGAGATTTATTACTAACTCTAATTAACCAAGCTAAATGGCTTTATTAAAAATAGATTGTCATTAAAGAATGTAAGGAGGGCAACAGTGCACAATATATTTTAAGGACTGCACCAGTCATTACAAAGCCACTTCCCAAGACACCACAGGTTGCTGAAGATGTGGCTGATGGCTTGTGTTTGCAACATTTAGGAAATTCTGCTGTGAGAAGCTTTGAAGGAAAGACTGAAATTGCCTACTCTTTAAAATGTCCATCACCCAGTAAGATTAAAAAGGGAATAAAATGAATGTATTTTAACCTCAAAATGCACACAAACAGCAGGGATAACCACTAACTTCTTAAAAATTTGTTTTCACTAAACTTGATGGGAGCCACCCCGTTAATTCATAGGAATGAACATACAGCACATTTCAGAACTACAAACTATCAAAAGAATACAATTTCGTCTCCCATTTCAGAAGCTCTCCAAACTGCATGTTCTACAAGGATGCTATTAACCAGAGTCCAAATTTTTCAATGGTTATGAAGATAATTAAGCTGATGTCTTAACGATCAGTGTGAGCACATCTATTGCAGACCCAAGACCTGGAAGACATTTTCAGTGCACTGTGGCTTCAATCACAAGACAATAAATAAAGATTACTTTAATCTGGCATTGTTAATACAGGAAGGAATCACAGTATGTTTGTGACTAAAGTTCCAGATTTTTACAGAACTGCATGCCAAGTTCTGATGGGGTTTCAGCCTTACTGTTCTCGCACATCTCTGAAGTCCATTGCAAGAAAAATCCATTAATTTTCCAAAGTTAGGAAAGATTAAAATAAATCTATGGTATTTATTATATACAGACTAAAGAGCAGAGTAAAGAGATGAACTGGAAGCGAGTACAGTCCCAACATGTGCCACTGCTTTCACACAAATCTTGCTTTCTGTACTCCTTGTCTTGCAATGTTTCACCTTTGGAGAACTGCCAATTTGAACAACTACAGCTATAAAGCAGAAAAGGCATACAATTAACATGCTTTTTGCAAACTGTTCCCCTTCACATTATGGAGCAAAAACAATTAGTAAACATTACCAGACCTAATCATTTCAGAGAGAAACAAACCTAGGAAAGGCGAGGCAATCTGAATAGAAGCGACTGAAAGTCTTGCATTTGTTAGTAGAAAAAAAACCCCCAGATACTACTTCAGGAAACACTGCTGTAAAGCACTGCTGTAACATTCAAAAAATATCATAAAAAGAAGGAAATATGAAATATTAATATTTTTACCATTCCTGACTATGTGAAGTACTCCTGGAACTGGAGTTTTCCTCTCTGCAGTGATAATCCTGTATTCTACTAGAACAAGGGACTTGGCCTCAGTTGTTGAGACAGTTCAAAGCTCTGGTTCCTACCGCAGGGTCTGAGTGGCATCACCAGCAGTGCTGCCCATCATGGCCCGATGAAATGCCCATTTCAGGAGCTCTCCAGCACACACCAGGTGGGAGTTACAGCATGAATACATCAGCTCTTCCTCGGAGTTGATTATCTCTGCCTGAGAAAGCTACCAAGGAGTTTGGATGCAGTACCAGCCTAAGGTGTTCTCTCACAGTATTTCCAAGATAGATCATCACTGTGTTCACTTAGCAAGGTGTCAGAACTTCAGTTTATGTGAGTCATTGCTCAGCATGTATGTTCTGAGCTCCTCAAAAGGGACACAAACAAGCTACCTATGAAATTAAAGGTCAATATAGATTATTCTTCCCCAGATACAAATATTTATCCCTGTAAAATAAATGTGGTATTTCTATCCTAAAAACTTCCTACAAGTAAAAATGTTCAAGAATGCTAATACAAAGACAGTTTTTCTCCCCCAACAAATCTGGGCACAGCTGGTGAACTCAACGCACATCCTCTGATTCTCAAACCATTCCTTAATTTTATTTAATGAAACAAATCTTGTCTTGATGGAAACTGTTATGCAGTTAAGACAATTTACCCTTCAAGCTCTTGGAAATCTTTCTTTTCTGTCCCATCTTCAGTTTTTACAGTAAGACTGCCTTTTCTCTTCAGAGCAAGTCTACACCTTCCTTTTTCCTCGGGGAAGACACAAGACTCATTTGTCAAAACATACAGAAGGCAATGAATAGAGAAGTGGAACTGATCTAAATCATCCCACAGCTGAGGAAAATGCAGTGGAGTTTAACAGAAAACAGAAAACACCCAAATCAGTTGGTCTAAATCACAGCTTGGCCTTGTGTGCATCATTATCACATGAAGGTCTAAGTTTCTCCTCACTCAGATGTTAAAAATTGAAGTCAAAAAGAAGTGGTTTCACTATGCAACTGTGTGAGGGAGGAGAAGGAGCGATCTTTTTGCCAAAACTGATGACTATCACCAGTAGTTCCCACTTGAAAACGGTGAAGGTCATCCTAAGACTGCAGATCAGACATGCACAGGGTGCTCGGTCAGCCACAGGCACCGCTCTATCCACACATTCAATTGGAAAGCCAAATACCAGATATTTTATTCAGAAATGAAGAGAAAGAATGAAGATGAAATTCTTCTTAGGGCATAGCTACTGCCTATGTCCAAGATTCAGCAAGAC